AGCCTTGACTTGTCTTCATCCTGAGGTTGGTGCCTACAGAGGCTCTTAAATGAAGGCATTTATTAAGTGCATCCCTGCTGTGGGTGAGGGGACTGGGGTTGCTTCTTTTAGTTCATTAGATTGCCCAGGCTCCCTTCTCAGCGTCGAACATTCTTGAATTTAAATAAACTGTCTATTTTTACGTCTACGAGTGTTTTGTCTGCACACATACATATGCGCCACATTTAGGCCTGGTACCTGCAAAGGCCAGAAGTAGGCATCAGATCCCCTAGAACTGGAATTACAGATGGTTGCCGGCTGCAGTGTGGGTGCTAGGGACTGACCCCAGGTCTTCTGGAAAAGCGTCCAGTGACCTCTCCAGTCTCCATTAAAATGGTATTTAAATTTTTTCTATCATGTGTATGACTGTATCGCCTGCATGTCTGTGTGTACCACATGTGTACCTGGTGCTGTTAGGGGTCAGAAGAAGGCAGCGGGTCCTCCAGATGTAGACTTACAGATGGCTATGAAGGGCAATGTGGGTGTTGGGAATGGAGCCAGGACTTCTGCAGAAGTAACAACCACCCATAAACCACCGAGGCATCTCTTCAGCCCTTCTTGCATTCTTGAGATGATCTCTCCTAGTCATAATTATTTTTGAACATGTAGGTGGGTTCGGTTGTCTATATTTCATGGAGAGTTTCGTACTCGGACTCCAAAGCAAAAAGCAGGCCTTTGATTGATGTGCATTGTCCTTCCTTGATTTGGAATCAACTTAAGATGAACTGAGTCACCGTCTTCCATCTCCTGTGTTCTAGGGTCAGATGTGACAGAAAAGGCATGCCATTTCATGCGTTGCTCAGTTCTCCACCTAAGCTAAGCAGCTTATAAAGAGGAAAGGTTTCTTGGCTCATGTTTTTAGAGGTTTGCTGCTCTGAGCCTGTGCTGGTACGTCACAACAGGAACCTGAGGCAGAGCTGAGCCTCATACCTCATGGATGGGAAGGGCGAGGCTTCTACTGTTCACCGACCAGTGACGGGAAGACCTCCCATTGTGCCCCGTGTCCTAACGGACCCACCAGCTCCCAAGTCACTTGGGGTCCACATGGCATCAGCAGGAGTGAACTCAGCCTTAGGGTGCTTTGGTCTTGATGAGATTTTGAGGGTGTGGAAAGAGATCTTGAATAATTGTTTATTTTCCTTTTAGTGTGTGTGTGTGTGTGTGTGTGTGTGTGTGTGTGTGTGTGTGTGTGCGTGTGTGTGTGTGCACGCGCATCTGTCTTTCAGAAAGTCTGCATGGGGATATGTGTGCCTGTGGAGGTGCCCAAAGAGGCCAGAGGCATTAGATCCTCTGAAGCTGGAGTTAAAGTAGCCATGAGCTACCCAATGTGGGTGCTTCCTCATAGTTTTCTTGAGACAGGGTCTTACCAAACAGCCCAAGCAGTCTAGAACTTACTTTGTAGCCCAGGCTGACCTTAAACTGCGGATCCTCCTGCCTGGGTCCAGTTGCTTTGATCCTGTTATGGGATAGGGTACCTGTGGCAGAGGAAGCCTGTTCACCTCCTGAGAAGCAAGAAGCCCTGAGAGTCAGAGTGTGTGAGACGGGTAGAGGAGAACGGAGTTCCACAGTTCCCTCAGGTGCGCGTCTCACTTCCTGAAGGTCCTCAACAGGCTGGCGGCCAAGCTGTGAGCATGTGGGCTTCCGAGGGCTTTGATGAGCCACACCCTAACTGGGGAAGTGCTTGAGCCTGGCTTTAGTCCTTCAACTGAAGTGTGGGGGGTGGGGTGGGGTGGGGGGGAGCAGAACCCCTGGGCTCACTGCCCACTGCAGAAGTCACTGCCCGTGGCAGAGGTCCCTGTCCGGGCTCCTGGGCGTGGGTGCCACTCACCAGACTCCAGTGGCAGCAGTTTGACTGTCTCATGCTCCCTGTGTGGACAGGAGAATGGGGTGGGCATGTCTTAGGCCGTTCCATGCGTGCAGTCTTCGCCCTCGAGCCCCCGGCCAGGGGGTCCAGACCGTCAGAACCTTCTAGGTTTCTCACCACTCCAAGGGCTGCTGTGTGACCATAGCTCCAGGACTGAGGTGCGGTGAGTGGAGGTGGGAGCGCAGGCTCCAGCAGCCTCGCCTCCTCCACAGCCCTGCGCACCTCACACCTCCACATGGTTCACCCAGGGCCAGGCAGGACACAGCAGAAGCAGAAAATGGAGCCTCTGCATGCTTATATCAGGTTCTCGGGTCATTAGCCTTCTGCTGTCTTTCTCCCCTGAGCCAGCTGCCAGGGAGAATGTCTGCAGCCAGGGCCGGTCACCTGGTCCATGCCACAGCGTCAAAGCACAGCGCCACAGCACAGCACACACACCACCACCACCAAGGCCTGGCAAGCATGGACCAAGCCTATGCTGGGGCAAACCTGTTGAGGCCCATGGTATCTTTTGGACACACCAAGACTAGTGCAAAGAGGCCACTGAAGGCCCTTATGGTACAGCTGGGGTCCATCCTTCCCTGACTTCACACATCTCCAAGAGACTTACAGGAAGGGCATTACCACTCTTTAGATCTGCAGCGGGGGGGGGGGGGGGGGTGACAAACATGGCACAGCCCCTCTTCCAGACAAGAGCACCCAGTGCCTGCGGCTCAGGCACACGTGGGCACTTGTGGTAGGCTCAGGTGGCTTGAGTTGGAGAACCGATACCTTTGCTGCAGAGTGGAGAAAGGCAGAAGATTCTGAAGGACGAAGAGGAGTTTACCAGGCAGAAGTGCGGGGAGGTGCATCCTGGACAGAAGGAACAGATGATGCAGACAGGGAGGCATCTCCGAGTCTAGGTGCCGGCTATCAGCAGGGGTGAGGCAGCGGCTGGGCCTCTGAGGACCCAGGCTTCGTTCTTAGGGCGAGGGGATTCAGGTAGTGAGAGTGGGGTAGGGGGGTTTCCCTTGGGAAGATGAACGAGAGGAAGACAGGTTGGAGTGACTGATCTCGGCTGGGGAGGGGTCCTAAGGGCTGTGGCTGCCCATGTTGGGCTAGTGCTGAAGCCAGAGAAGGAGCAAAGGAACTTCAGATAAAGATGGTCCCCCAGCTGACCTTCAGGCCCCGGGACTCTGCATTTGGGGTGAGAATGGGGTTTCAGCTATTTCTGAACGGAGACTATGATCGCACGCCCGAGAATATCAACTTTAACAAGCAGAACTTTGTCTACCCTCAGAGGTTTCTGATTACAGTTGTTCAACTCTATTGCTTTGGGCCGGGGTGACGCAGAATGGGTGGCTGAGAAGAGCTGCTCAGTCCACAGTGGCCAGAAGCAGGGGGGCGGTGGGGAGGGTGGGGACAGGATGCCCCAAGGCAGCCCCAAGGACTGAGTCCATTCAGCTAGGTGCCATTCCTTTTCCTTTCCTTTCCTTTCCTTTCCTTTCCTTTCCTTTCCTTTCCTTTCCTTTCCTTTCCTTTCCTTTCCTTTCCTTTCCTTTCCTTTCCTTTCCTTTCCTTTCCTTTTTCCTTTCCTTTTTCCTTTCCTTTCCTTTTTCCTTTCCTTTTTCCTTTCCTTTCCTTTTTCCTTTCCTTTCCTTTCCTTTCCTTTCCTTTCCTTTCCTTTCCTTTCCTTTCCTTTTCTATTTGAGACAGGGTTTCTCTGTGTAGCTTTGGCTGTTCTGGACTTGCTTTGTAGGCCAGGCTGGCCTTAAACTCACAGCGATCCACCTGCCTCAGCCTCCTTGAGTGCTGAGATTACAGGTGTGAGCCACCGAGCTCGGCTGCTATTCCTTTTTCTATCGCCTCGCAATAGCTCATCGACTTATAAATGCATTCATGGATTAAGCCACAGGCGAAGCTGCAGGTGATCCACACATTTCTGAGAGGCTTGTGACCTGGCAACTAAGACTGTGTCACTTGGCCCTGAAGAACGTTTGAAATCCAAATTCTAATCATACCCATTTGCTGTGGGTGTCTTGTACACACTGGAATGGGAGGCTGCCAGGTACCCAGGGTGGGGCAGCAGCAGCTGGCCTGGGGTCCATGAACCAGTTCCTGGCTTGGCCGCCTCACCAACTTTGGCCTAGGTTGGAGGGCACGGGGACATATTTGGCACACAGGTCCCTGGCAATAAGGCTCTGCCTCCCATGAGTAAGGTCCTACTTGTACTTACTTCCCTGGAGTCTCCAATGCAAACACTGGAGGGGGTCTGCATCCTGCACAGGGCCCCAGTAAGGGGCCTCCGTGTCCCTCAGCCATGTGCTCGGCATGCCTGCTGTCACCCCATTTTCCCAAGCAGGCTCTGCAGGGAGGGAAACCTTCAATCTGTCAGATGATTGCCACTGGGACCAGCTGGAGGAACCCACAGAGTCAGAACCAGAACCCAGACCTGGCTCCCCCTGAAGATGTCGGGGAGGGATTTTGCTGTGTGGGAAAAAGATATTCAGAGGTAAAAGGTTGGATTTGGAAAGTGGAGGTGCCCCTAAGTATTGGGAAGGCCAGGAGAGGAGTGGCAAATCAAAGGGCACTGTTCTAGCTCCTCCCCAACGAGTCTGGGGCATGCTGAGCTGTAGGCAGGCAGTCCAGCCATGATACCGAGACTAAAACTGTAGCCCCTCACAAGGAGCCTCGCATGTGTGGGACCCGCCGCCATCTCTGCAGGTTTACAGTGGCTCCCTGCAGCAGGCAAGCAGTCAGAATAGACCCAAAGCAGGGGAGCATCGCCCCAACACTCTGATAGGCAGACTGTGCCCTGAGGCCCAGAGACATGACCAGGGGCAAGAGAGGAGAGAACCTTCGGCATTTTTCCCAGGCCTTGTGTTCACAGCTACTGGGATTACTCTCAGGAGCCTCCAGGGGCCAGGGATGCCAGCGGTCAGAAATGCTCAAGTAGACTACCAGTTCTTTCTTAAAGTCTGAAAGACTAAGGTAGTGACCACCTGGCCCTCAGGAGCCCTGTGAGCAGGAGGGACAGTTTGCAGCTGGGCAGAGGGCCTCCTCTGAGGGACACTGACCTCTGGTGGCTTTAAAAATAACAGCAAACCGGGGGGAAAAGAGGTTAAAACAAACATTTATTTAACAAATTATATTAAGAATACAATCACACAGTGAAACCTCCCTTTGCCAAGCAGTCACCTTGAATAAATACACAGGAAGGCAGCTGTGTCTACGGCTCTTGTCCCAGCGCCACACAGTGGCCCAGCAGCTCACAAGCCTTTAAAGGGGAACAAAGCCGGGTCTCCCCGTGCGGATGGCTGCAGCTGCTCAGGGGTTCATGCCCAGAGCAGGTGAAGAAAGCTGGGCCACCCTGATGTGCTGAGCCACCTGAGAGGGAGCTGGGTGCAGGAATGGAGGGTCCAGCTTCTTCATCAGGATCTGGGGGGCAGATGGACACAAACCAATTTCATGAGTTCAGCGGTTCTCCCTGGCCAGGAGTACACAAATGTGGCCGGAGACACTCTCAGGCTGGGGAGGCCTCAGGTCAGGGAAGGCACAGGGCAGGCAGGCTCTCAGCCTGACCCGTGCCCAGAACCCACTGTCATGTTGTGGTGACTCATGGTAAAGGAAAGCCCATCACGGGAATGGACACAAAGACCAGGTGCCCAGGGGCTTTGGGGTCAGATTCTGCCTCTGCCACTGGCAACTTATGGACGAGCCTCAGGCACGTTATGGGGGGCGGAGAGCACCCACTGCTGGGCTTGTTCGGGGGGGGGGAATGACAGGAAATGTGCTTATGACTGCCAAGCCTAGTGCCCAGTGAAGAGTGTGTACCCAGTACCTCGGCCCCCTTGCCAAACACCCTCCGACAGAGGGGCCTCAGAACGACCTTGGCCGCAGGTGGCCCTGTGCTGCTGAACACTCATGGCGCTAACCTGTCCCTTCTTCCCCTGGGAGAGTGGGGCGCTCAGCTCTCCACATGGCAGACTTGGGCTGACATGAATTCTTAGACTTGGCCTTATGGTAAATTTGCAGGTGATCCTGGACTCTACCTCCCCCTGCTTATCACCCACATGCCTTTCCAAGGCCCTTAGGAAGGACTTTTCGGTGTGGGGGTGCTGGGGACAGGGTGCTGTGCTCTGGTTAGCCTTTTCTAGAGAGGTGTGTGCTTGGCAGGGACAGCAGCAGTTGTGGGACATGCTGGTGGGGGAGGGGGAGGTCCGAGGGAGAGGCTGTGGCTAATCATGTCTCCCTCGAATCCTTGTGCTCATCCTACAGTGCCCAGGGGGGGGGGGGGGTGTGCAAAACCGCTCCACACAGCACAGCCCCACCTCCTAGGTCTGGTCTGTCCAGGTCCACACGAGGTGGACACGGGTGCACACACACGACCACTACCATCGCCAGAAGACGAGAAACCAGGGGTTGGGTGCAACCTAAAACCTACCACAGATACCACGCCGTCCTCAACACTTCAGAAGCTAGACGCTGCTGGTGCTACCACATTCACAGCCAGGGTTATCCGAAACCAAGTCTGCAATGTCCGAGGCTGCTCCAGCTCAGAGCGTGCGGTTTGCAGGGTCCGTCCTCCAGGAAGCGCCTCACATGGCCTCCTTGGTCACTGACAAGGGTCCACTGTCTTCATTTCTTAACTTCCACGGCCTATAAGAGCTGCAGAAGAAGCCACATTCTCCACCGAGGGACATGGGGAGGGCCACCTGATGTCACCTGGTGGGGATGATTTCACAACTGGGGATGGAAAGAGGTGATAAGACAAAGTGCACAAACTTAGCGAAATGGTCAGGAAGGCCCAGAGCTTTGTCCCGAACCTTCCCAGTCAACACAGACTGTGGGTGGCTGCCCCATCTCTTTCAGGCCTCAGGTCACACAAGCCACTTGGTGTTACAGCAGCAGCAGTAGACACAGGTCCTCGGGATCCCCTGCCTGTGGAGCCATCTGGGGACAGTTCCTTAGCTCCTCTGAGCACCAGAGTGGCATTAGGTTCTGCTAGAGATGCCTATGGTGAGCCCATAGGCCTCTGGGGCACCAGCAGATGAGCCAACCGCCTTTCCATGTGCTACCTGGAGGCTCTGGGCCTCGAGTCTGAAGGAGGTGAGGGGACCCACAGAAATGAAGTACCATCAGGCAGAGCAGAAGGTGGAAGAGGAAGAACGATGTCCACAAAGGGCCTGAGGGGCTGATGGAGGTTGGTGAGGTATTTTGGGCCCCGCCCTGACTCATGCCATCTTGTTGGCTGGTTCTTGCTCCTGATCCTCTTGCACCCTGGGCACCCAGCTACCTGTGGCTGCCTCTGGAGCTGTAACTGGAGAGGTTTGAACCAGCTGGTGTGTAGTTGCCCAGAGCCACTGACTGTGCACACCACATCTATAGACCCTCTGGGGACCAGTGTCAATCAAAAGCTAAAAGCCAATTGTGGCAAAGCAGTGCATCGTGGTGAGGCTGAGAGCTGGGGCAGCAATGACCACCGTCCTCATGGCAACACATGTAGGGTTGAACTTGGCACCTCAGGTTAACACCCGTGAAATGTTCCGGCCCAAATTCAGAGGCCTGGGACTTTTCTAAAACAGCAGATTCCTGGTGGAAGGTGCCTCCTAGACAGTGTGGTGGGCCTCGCTGAGAGGAGTTGGTGCCCCTTACTGTGCCCCTGGTCCCATGCCTCTCAGAGCGTGCTCTGTGTCAGTCACCACCAGGCCAGGGCACCAGGCAGAGGCGTATGGCGCTGTTGTTGGCAGGCAGGAGGCCCCAGAGGTAAGCCCTTTGTGGGGATTGGAGCTTGCGGCCAGGCACAGTACCCTAGCAGCCAAGTTTCCAGCCAGGTAAGCACCCAGTCACCTCCACAGAGAGTAGGGTTCCATCTGTGCTCTCTGGATGTCCAGTGTGTGCGCTGCGAGAAGAGTCACAGTTGTCTCAAGCCCGTCGGAGTCCTGTTTCCTCAATGTCGTCAGGAAATGCATAGGCTGCCTGAGTCTGCTCTAGCTGTGCTTGTTCCCAGTGCATCTTGCGGGGTCCTACGTGGAGCAGTCAACCTTGGAGTCTTCCAGGAGGGAGAGAGCGGCTTTGTAAGGTTCCCATAGTGGGTGATGGCCAGTTGTCGGGAGCCACTGGGCACCCCTGGGTGACTGGAGCATGTGCCTGGGCTCTTGCAGGTGACTCCAGGCTAGGAAGGATTTTTTTCTTTCATTGTGGGGTAAGTGGTCATCACACAGGTGTGCTAGGAGCCTCTGGTCACTAACAGCACATACATTAGTCACAATTATGAACAACGTTCCCAGGGAGGTAGGGAGTCTCATTCGGCAAGCTGATGGCCATCCATGACCATGCAGCTGCCCAGAGTCTCTTGGTCAGTGGGGAGGGCAAGCAGAACGGACGGGGGAGGGAGGGAGTGACTCTCACCCCAGCCACCCCATCAGTAGTCTGGGCACCGGGTCGGAGATGTCTTCTCCCCCAGGAGGCTGTGGGCGCCTCAGGACTGGGGGATCTGCTGGCACCGGGTAGGGCTGGGTGGGAGCCGGGCTGCAGCGCTCTGCTCTGTGCGGAAACTGTACTCGTACTGCAAGAAGAGGAGAGAGGCAGAGTCAAGCCACAGGATCCCAGAGAAGGTCAAGCTGAGCCAAGGTGAGGCTAGCCCCTGCTGACCCTCAGGCAGAATGACTGCTGGACAGGCATCCAGGCTGGGAGCTAGAGTTGGAATAGTATTTCACTTAGTGTGAAAGAAAGTGAGTGAGTGTGTGTGTGTGTGTGTGTGTGTGTGTGTGTGTGTGTGTAGGGCAGCTCAGGAGGTAACAATGGGTAGACAGCTTTTCCCTGCCTGCCTCTGTAGGGTGAGGTTTTGGCACCAGCACTGTCTACTACTGCTGCCAATGGCAAGCTCACACAATAACCTGTGCCAGGCTGAGAGGCAAGTACCTTCCTACTCCAGCTTGTACCTCAAGAAGGGATCACTGCAAGGCTCCTGAAGAGAGAGACCCGAGAGCAGACTCCATGTCTGACCAGAGGCCTTCCTCCAAGAGCCAGTCTACAGAGGACTAGTAACTCACCGGAGACCCCAATTCTGTAAGTTCTGGCAGTAAAAGCCTCCAAGTTCAGCGGAAACTCTGAGAAGAGGCAAGTGTCTTGGGTAGGGAGAGGGCTCCTGCAGTTCATCTGAAGGCTGGGACGTTTGGCACCCAAATGTGGGCACAGGTGAGGTGTGGGAGAGGGTTCCTTATCCTGGCAGAGGTGAAGAGGGATTGTGGAATAGCCCAAGAGGCATCATTAGATCAGCGGTGTTTAGGTTTGTAGCTGCCAAACACGTTCATAGGTCAGAAGTGAGCAGTGGGAGGCTCTGAAAAGGCTTTCTGACAGAAAGGAGCTCCAAGAAGAGCTGCTGTCTTGAACTTGGTCATCCTGTGCAGAACACCCGCCCAGTACTCAGCCTGTGGAGGAGGATGTGGCCAAATTGTCACAGAAGCTGCAGACCCCAGCCAGGCTGTGTGGCCCCACACCCTTGTTGCCAGGCACACGGGCCAAGTGGGGCCTGCCAACCTCACCACATACCCAAAGCTGCTGGCAGCAAGGAGCCACCCTGAGAATGAGGAGTAGCTGGGAGCTGAGGGTTGTGACTAAGAAGCCACTTAAGACAGCACCTCTGCAACCTGTGAGTTCTGCCTCTCGGCTTGTTACCAGGATGGGCAAAGGGAGAGTGCGCTGGCTGCGGGAGGCCTCAGGCAGGCTTCCCCATCCTGGATTTTGGTGGATTCACGTCGAAGATAGGGTGTGGTCTGCCAATCCCAGAGGTGGCACAGGCCTATCCTTGGTTGCAAGTAGCTGGTGGCTATGAGAGGAACCTATCAGAGCGGCCCACAGGCCCCTACCTCCTACCCTCTAGTGACCTTTGAAGGCACAGGATACCATCCATCAGGCTAATACCGTCCCATCAGGCTGGCTACCCAAGATGTCTCAGGCAATGGTCAGCACAACGCTGCCACCTGGTGGCTGCTCAGGTGCGTGCATGTCAGTGAACAGCACATCAGCATCTCTGCCGGCTTTATCTTACTCTGCTGGGGTGATGGAGCGGTCGGTGGGAGAAGGGATGTTTGGGGGGTGGGGATCATGTTGGGAGGACTGCAGAGGCATAAGTTCTATGAAATCCTTTGTTCCTAGGGCTCACAGGGTGGTGGCGGAGGGGCCCAGGAACCTTCCACTCAGCCCAGGACTAACTACCATCTCCTAGGGTGGTTGTCAACAGGCATGGACTCCAGCAAGGACACTCCCTGGAGCAGGAGCCTTTCCCAGGGAAGAGAAAAAACATGGAAGGGGAGAGGTGCAGTCTGTACCTTAATGGTACAGGCTCGAGAGTGGAGGGCCCAGGGGCTATTCTCAGTAGTACAGAGGCCTGGAGCACCAGGACCTCAGTTCAGACAGAGGAAGTGCAGGTTGGGGAGACAAGAGGAATGTAGCTTTGCCAGTGGCTTAGAGAGGGTCGCCAGGAGTGTCCAGGGGAAGAGGCAGTGTGTGTGGGTGGGGGATAGGGGTAGGGAGGCCTTGGGGCCACGGTGACAAGAGCACGCAGTCAGAAAACAACAGAAGAGGACAGAACTACATCATTGCGGTGGGTGGGGACTGGAGCCCTGGGCAGCATGAGAGGCGACACCATGGTGTGAGACACCACGGATCCTGACCTGCCACCTGCCAGCTAGTGGTTTCTAGGTGACCGAATGATGGGGTCAGTTATCACAGCTACCTGGGAGCGATGTGGGGAGGGCAGGATTGGGAAGGACCAGAGGCTAGAATATGGTGGTGGAGTGGGGAAGGGTGTACCAGGAAGGAGGGACTAGGGACAGGGAGGGTGGGGTACCCCACTTTGGAAACCAGGGCCGAGGTGCTCTCAGATGAGGGAAGGAAAAGGCCCATGTGATACCAGCAGAGTCAGGGCTAGACACACAGCTTGAGCTGTCTTTCCACCATTTCAGAAGTATGCTCTGCTGTGCCCAGCTCCCAGGGCAGAAGGCCGCTGTGTACCTGGCTCCTAGGGTGGGAGGAAACCCATGGGGCAGGGGACCGTCTTCATTTGATGCTGTCTGGCTGGCGGGCCCAGAATATCCTAGCCTGAGACTGGGGCTGGGCACCTGCGTGAGGGTGGGAGCCACAGCTCTCTGGACAGCAGATGGGGAGCATTGGCTGACCAGGCGGTGGGGCCTCCGTGTGTGGGTCATGTGGTTCATGCCTCTGGTGTCTGGAGGACGAGAGGGTCCCCGAGAGGGGTGAGGACCTGACTCCCAGCTCATCATCTCAATTCCCACTTCTCTTCACCCTGGCTTGGAGTGGAGAGGGGACTCGCAAGCACACACTTGCCCTTTCCTGACCTACATCCTGAATGCAGAGACTCTGGGCACTGGCAGACCCCTCGGTCCCCCGCCCTCTCCCTGGAGTTTTTCCCTTTTTAGGTTATCTTGGCTGGAAAAAGTCACCACCCCCACTCTTGTTTTCCCTAATTCCCCAAATGAAATTTCAACATATGTCCCCCGACATAATCCCCCTTAGGCTGCGGATAACCTTCCCGCAGACGATGTCCTCCGCCAGGGATTCCTCGTCCCCAAAACTGTTTGCCCAAGAGACTAGGGCCGCTTCTGGAAGCCTTTCACTCCCTTGGGCAAACAGAGAGCACCTTTGAAGGTGGATTTGAGCCTGGATCTGTTTACTCAAGACATTAGTCTCCTGCATAAGGAAAACCTGCACTTGAGTACAAACAGCAAATCCTTTTTGAATTAAAAATTTTTTTCAATTAAAAAGCATTTGGTGTGCAGAGCTCAGTCCAGCTGAGCAGTGCGGGGTAGCATGCCCTCTGGTGGACATAGCCTGCCATTGCAACTGTACTGCTGGTCCAGCCTAGGAAAGAGATGTCACTGTCAGGGGCTCCGTAGGGGACTTTCCCAGAGGCCCCAGGACCTTGTAATGGACAGCCTCCGCCCCTCAGGCAGACAGGGCAGGCAGTGGGCCACAGTTTCCACAAGTCCTTACTCACCCAGGGACCAGCATTCTGTTAGCAGGAGGTGGCAGCATCACAGAGCCTAGGTCACTGCAGCCTCTAGGAAAAGGGGTGACTAGATCTCCTGCCACTCACAGGGCAGCTGTGGGAGTCACTGGGTGATCTGTGCAAATACATCCAGCAGTGCCTGTGTCTGGGAGACAGAGATGGAGCAGCAGCAGCAGCAGCCATGAAAAGCCCCAGGCTGTTTTATTGGTTGGTAAGGGGAGGCTCCCCTGAGACAGAGGTGCTACCTACCTACAGAGGTGGAGGGGTGGGGAGGTGGGGGTTCGGTGAGCACAAGCTGTACCTGCCCCGTCCTCCTCTCCTGATGCAATACCAGTCATACCCACCAGGGGGCTCTAGACAAGGAAGGCAGGAAGGTCTCTTTCCAGCATCACACTCTGCAGACAGAGGCAGACCTGGGGAAGGGTCCCACTTTCTGAGACGGCACAGTAAGCCAGGGCCGTGCCGGCCCAGGCCCGAGGGGCTGCAGATGGGGTATGGGGCCAGGTGACAGCTAGAGCAAAGTCAGGTTGTACTGCACCAGATCACAGAAGGTCCTGGAAGGGTGTGGACAAGTCTGGGGGCTCCAGGTATGGCCATGAATGTAGGGAACTAAAGAGCCCAAACAAGTACAGAGGTGGTTCAAGAGTGGGGAACAGTGCAGGGAGGGCTGGGCTGTCACAGATGGCCTAACGCCAGGCAGCGCGGGAAAGCTATAAACGCAGCCTCAAACAAAATAGTCAATTTACTAAAGCACCATGGGGCAGTTGTTGTTGTTGTTACTAGACGGTTTCTCTGTGTGACCCTGGCTGGCTCCAAGGCCACAGAGATCTACCTGCCTCTGATGAGCTGGGGTTAACGGCATGCACCACCAGACCTAGCTCAAGTTTTGTAAGTGTTTTGAACTCAGAGCATTCTTGAGGATGAGTTCTGTAAATGACGGCGTGGCTCAGAGAAGCTGAAAGTTCAGCCACCGTAGCCCTCTTGCCTGTTCGCTCAGGTCTCCTCAGGCCACTCTGTCACCTCCTACCTCCCAGACAATGCCATAGCCTGGGCTCAAACCTGTTTTCCATTTGTAAAAAAATTCTTAGACCTCAGTCCTTCGATTCTGCTCAAGGGGCTCCATGTTCTCCAAGCTGTATCTTGGCACTGGGGTTCAACCCTGAGGAAGGACTTGGGTGGGCCTGCTGCACGGCTTCCCGGGATGGGTGAACGTAGACTGTACATCTGTTCTCTAACAAGGACTCCAACTATTCCACTGGCAGCCAGGCTGAGGCACTGGACATGCATTCCTCAAGCAACTGAAACGCAAGTCTGAAGGAAGGGAAGGGAAGGACTCTGGTCCGTGTCTTGTCAAAACTGCCAGCTAGGCAGAGGATTGAGGCTGCCACATCGTGGTGACAATCCCACTGCCAACAGGGACATGCCATGCTGGAAAGTGAAAAATCCCTGACCCATGCATGACTATTCAAATTTGAGAGGGAAAGGTAGGCAGGAGATTCACACAGTTGAGAAAATGAGAGCCCTATGGCCACAAA